CCGAGATCTTTTTGTTCTGAATTATACTAGGCTTAAACGACGAAGCAATTTCACTTTATTTTGTCATGACATTTTGTAATTATTTCCGCCAATTTTCCTATAGTAAAGATTAATTTTTGTAAGAAATCATCTTTTTCTTGAATTTTTATCACCTCAGAAATATATTTCAATCATCCTTATTTTCAATCATCCAAATAATTATACTTTTTTAAATCAGTATATAGAACTTTTTTTTTTAAGAAAATAGTTTCATCTAAAAAAATCTGAAAATATTTTTGTTAATTTTAATATGTTGTTAAGTTATGGATTTTTTTACAGAATTACATTTTTTGTCGATTTCGACAAATTTAAATTGTTATTGCAAAAAATTGTTAATAAATGACTAAAGTAACTATTGGAACATAAAATATAATCTCTCTAAAGTATCCCAGAGTACTGTCAAGGCGATTTTTTTACGAATTTTCAGAGAACGGATGACGCTACGAGTCTCATACTCTAAAACTATAATTCTTAAGCCTAGCACAACTCAGAACAAAAAGATCTCGGTTGGAACAAGAAAGGAAGCATGTGTTTACTCTTGACGTCGAGTACTGTCAAATCGATTTTTTTACGAATTTTCGGAGAACGAATGATCTTATGAGTCTCATACTCTACAACTATAATTCTTAAGCCTAGAACAACTCAGAACAAAAAGATCTCGGTTGGAACAAGAAAGATAGTATAAGTTTACTCTTGGTCCGATAGACTGTCAAAAAACTTTTTTAATTTTTCGGGCTTATAATTAAACTTATTGATTTGTGCTTTTGGAACAATGTTTGGGACAACTAGAACAATCTATATCGGTATCGGAATGCTTTATTTTCAAAAAATGGGGTGCCAGATCAAAAACATTTTTTTTCATTTTTTGGACTTATAATTCAACTTACGGACTTGTCCTTTTGGAACAACGTTTGGAACAACTAGAACAATCTATTGCGGTATCAGAATGTTCGATTTCCGAAAAGTGGGGTGCCAGCTCAAAAAATCATTTTTTTTGTTTTATTCGAAAATCGTTTCGAATGAAGCAATATCACTTTGGAACAATGTGGTACAAAGTCAGAACAATCTGGATCAACTTTCAAAATTATAAATTTCAAAAAGTGGGGTGCCAACTTCATACACTCCAGTTACCATTCTCTAACCACAAACTTTCCTTTATACACAAAATTCCGTCAAATAATTTTTATCGTTTGCTTCTATATCTTGTGACATATTATATTTTATTATGTGAAACTCGTGCTGCAGAAGGTAAAGTTCTTTCACGTGCAAATTTATTCAGTATTAAAATGTAAATGTTGTAGTTTTATCTTCGATTACCATTTTCTCTAGTTTGTCTAGTTTTTGTCTAGTAACAAGCCAAGAAATATTGGCCAGTATTTGCCGAGTTCTTACTAGACAGAAAAATTGCTCAGCATTTACCAACCATTTTTATAGCCTAGTTTCTGGCCAGTGACTGGCCAAGAAATACTGGCCGGAATTTTTCTGTCCTGAACAGTTGCTGTCCAATAAATCCTAGCAGGTAAAAACTGGCCCGTTTTTGACGAGTTTTTTTTAGAGTTTCCTTTCCTACTTGCGAAGGACACGTTGTATTGTTCGTCACCTGGAGCAAAGAAGCAAGAACCATCGCATTTGGCGTTTCAATGAAATGCGCAGTTTGTATCGGAAACACGACGAAGTAATTTGCGGCTCGGAGCACGCGGTACTTTCGCGTTACACGGCCGTAATGTGCCGAGCACGATGATTGTAACGTAGACGTAGGTACGTGCCACGCCGGTATTGTTTGCTGTTTAAATTGACGTATATGCGGCACGCAGTTACACCTGTGCGCCGTTTGTCGGAATACGAACTGCCACATCGGGCCACGTCGCGTCGAAGCTGTGCGTCGCGTGCTCGCGTGCGTGCGTGCATCTCGTGCACGTATTATCGTCGACGTAACGTGCGAGAGAGGACAATAAGTATAATTATTATAAACCCGACGAGGCGACCGCAAAATGCACCTCGCACGAGGTCGCACCGGGAGCAGCCGGCACGCACGAGAGCAGCACGCGTTGCGTTGCGTCGCATTAAAGTCGCGAAGGGCGTGGCATTGCCTGCATCAGGCATCACCATACGCAGCCGATTACTCGCGCGACGTTTCAATGAACAGAACGATGTAAACTCGCGTGTCATCCGCTCTACGGAAATATCGCGAGATATGTAAAGAAGGCAAACATCACTTAGGAATGATATCGCTGTCCCGTCGCTGTTTGAATAAATCGTACGCGCAAATTAATAATGCGACCCGAGTATTTTGGACCCTAGATCGCTGTAATTTCGTCCCATAAATGACAGAGCGTCCCGATGACGGAGGCAATGCTAGATGAATTATAAGCGCATTTAACATCGGGAATAGCACGTACACAAACGGCTGTGTCTGACGTCATGACTTTAGATTTATTATGCGAGTTATGAATCTACTATCCTCCGCAGAAGCATTGATGTAGTATCCATCATGGCCAGTCAAGCCAAAGAAAACGTCGTTACATTGTAATAAATCCTTGTAAAATAAAAGTGTTCTTTGAACGCATCATCAATCTTAGTAACGTCAGCCTTTAAATAGGGAAATGGATCAAAAGACGGTATATAGGACGTAGACATTCTTATTGCTATTCTTATAATACTGCGTGGGAAAACTCGGTGAAATTTCGCGAAATTTTATCCCGCAAAATTTTTCTCACGGAGATCTGTCTAATGTACATGCAAAATACATCGTGTTATATGTTTTTCGTTAACACATTAACCAGTTATATTGTTGCATAAAAAGATTCTGCGCGTTGCCAATTTAAATTGAAAGTGGCCTGACGAGTAGACAAGTTATTTAATTCCCGAGTGGTTTTATCGCCTCTCTGTATCCGCATTTCTACACACACACTTTGCATGTAATAGTTTGTGTTTATACGGGTGAAAACTGCAACACTAGTCTAATAGATGTAGAACAGTCTTTTGGCGAGATGGCGTAACAGCGATAAAGTAGAGCAGTTACAAAATTCAATATGTGGCAACACCTCGATATGTGTTACACAATCTCGACGTTTCACAATTCAATAGCTATATATATGATATTTAAAAATTATATGAAAAATGTGAATGAAAATTATGTTTGCTTTATTTTTAGCAATTTCACTCATTAAAAATTCGCGAATGTATTGCTCACGCTGAAATTAGGATATGTTTTGATATTTTTAACTTACAGTCCATCGAATCCAGAATTATCTAGACATAAATTCACACGCATAGAATTCGACGAATTAAAATTATGTCACGACACACATAATAAAAATTTAAAATTAAAATTATGTCTAAATATAATTTTTACTATGCCGCAGTTAATTTTAATTCTGAATTTTTTATGTTTTAGATATAATTTAAAAATTCTAAATTTTATGTTGTTATATAATTCTAATTACAAATTTATATTATGTCTAAACATTATTTTAATTCCAAATTTTATTCAGAATTAAAATTATGTCTAAACATAGGATAAAAATTCAGAATTAAAATTAACCGCAGCATAATAAAAATTATATCTAGACATAATTTTAATCCCGAATTTTTATTACGTATCACGTTACAAATTTTTAATTCGTCGAATTCTATTCGTGTAAAATTATGTCTAGACAATTTTGGATTCAACGAATTTTAATTGTAAATTAAAAATATTACAGCATGTAATATAATATATATTTAATCTAATTTCAGCGTGAGTAATTTATTCACGAATTTTAGACATTCAACTTTTTCTCACACACTTTTAAAGAAGATGAACGATGCAGGCGGCCGTACAGGCAAACGGTAAATCATTAATTTTGCGCTTACGTTCTCTTTTAATCCAAATATGACGCAGAAAGTTTCTCGCTCATGATTATCTTTTCTCTGGAGCAGCAACAATCATTACTACGACGAGATTATTCAGTGACATCTCTGGTGCGATGACTTCTCACATCAGACGAAAAGTCTGAAGATTTCTCCTGAGACACAGCGGGCCTCATTCTCTCTATTGCACTCGTATTACTAGGTCCCTGGCGCAATATTCTCTTTTGTACTACGCCCTCGGCCTCTTTCGCCCTTCATTTTTACCACGCCCTAGTCGTGCTTTCCATTTTGTTTTGCTTGATCTTCGGCATTATCTTGAACGTCACTGCGGAAAATAATGCTTCCACGCTCCTCGCTCTTCGGGATTCTGATTAAAAGTTTGCCGATATTACACCATGACGTAACGCGAAACTAAATTTACCCGCTCGTATAGAGGGTGGATAGACGGCGCAGTTCATATCGCCGTGGCACCTACATCGCTTGAGTGGAAAGTCTGGCTTAAATTGCGCCCGGCTTAATTTTCATCTAGTAGCGCCAAGCAGCGCGGTAAATGCGTCTTTGAGATTTCGTCTCTTGTTTTTTCCTTCCCTTCTTTTTTTTACTCCTGCAAACGAGCGATTCGCGGTAAATGGCCGAATTTAAAATTTCTACCTCCGGGAATTTGCGATATCAGTGTTAATTTGTGTTCAGACGTTAACTCTAGAAGCTCTGAACCTAAAATATCAAAAACTCTAAACATGGGTAAATTTGAGCCAGCGCATTTTCATTCACTCACAACTTCCGGAAAAATAATCGAAATTCAAACTTTTTTTCATGAGTGTAAAAAGCTTCGAGAAATATGAATTTATTGATGCTTCCACGTTTCCACGAAAGTTGAAGAAAGTTATAATGAAAAAACGAAACATATGTTTTTTTTAAGAACGGTGATGTTTGAAAAGTTGGTCTGAATAAATTTGTTCCATGTTTGTAGGGTGTTAGCATAAAATTGAGACAACACAATTTCCATATACATCAGATATAAATTGTTTATATCACTCACGTTATGCAAACACGTGTCGGCGTATTTCAAGAACATGCGCTCACGATCTCTTATCTCCTTTCTGTTCCAGGTAAGCACGAACATCTTGCACGGGACCGTTTTGGTGCCAGCGATGATATTCTAACCTCGATGCTGTAATGTATTTCACGCGAGTGACTCATGATTCACGATCTACATCGTTATCGCGAATCATAACCGGCCTGGTCTATGCCCGCGCGCGCGTGACAAAATACAATACACGGCCTGTTTCTTCGAATCATCGACGCGGTAAATTTTCAGGCAGAACATATCGCGTCTGCAGATAAAAGTTCGATCCTCATACTGATATCGCGAGAGGGGACGAAAGCGGCGGTGCTAACAGACATTCGTAGGCTCTACGGGGGGGATGGGGGGTGACTTTCGCGCGACAGTCAGTCCGCCGGCTGTGCCATTCGTAAAGGTGGGTGCACACGACTATGACAAAGTAAAGTATATTAAGCTCATCGGCATGCAGAGTTCGCTCGGGCCGGCTTAATACGCGAACTGGGGAGCCCGGGTATCCACCCTCCCCTATTCACCCTTCGCCACCTACCTACCTACCTACCTACCTACCTACCCATCTACCTACCTACCCACCTACCTACCCATCTACCTGCCTGCCTGTCTGCCTGCCTGCCTGCCTGCCTAGCTCACCGATGCCACCGACCTACGGTTTGCTGAAGTATCCGCCGCGGTGTCTGCAGGGTGAGTGCCTCTCGCGCTATCCACCTTCTCCACCTTCGTCTCTGTTCTCGAGCCGTTCTCGACCCTCGAAGCTCCCGACAAGCCGACCGCCGTTACCCTCTCGCCGATCCTCCTCGTCCCCGTCGCGCCGCGCTCTCCCAAGCCACCTTCCTCATGGGCCGCGCACTTACGGCGAACTACGACGTGCCGCGGGAATACAATAATTCCCGTGGGCGGCCGTATCTTTTTCCCCGTAACACAACGCCGCGAAAAAGCGGCCGTGTCGCGCCGTGAATATTAACGAGCCCTGCGGGGGTGCACTGCGGCGACGTGTAGAGGGGCGGCCACCACTCGGTAGCTACCGGCGGTAGAAGCTGCGAGGTTTCGATGGAGAGGATTAGAGCGGGTTAGTTTTGTGCATTTCGTGTCTGGCATGTGGCCGGCCTACGTTACGTTTCCGCTGCGAGGTCTGATACGACTCGTTGCGATTCACTGACGATTCACCGAGAAATATTATCATGTGTATGTAAGAGAAAAATATATCATATATATTTTATAGTAAATATATCCTATCAGAAAAAGTGCGCGTTACCGAAAATCTCGAATGTATCGAAACTTGAAGCCTCTTTTCCGCGACGCTGATTAGCCGTCCCGACTGTCTCGATTGGCTTGATCGAGGTATGCTAGATTCAATCTGCTTACAGCTGTCAGATGCATGTGACGGATCTGATTGTGTTGTTCGCGTTATATGAATTTGATATTTATTGTAATCTCAGCAAACACAATGTTACATGTAACATACATGTTAGTTGTAATTTCTTACTCAACAAACAATATAACTGTTATATAATATACGTGTTATATAACAGTTACACTGTTGAATAGGAAATTATAACTAACATGTACGTTACATGTAACATTGTGTTTGCTGGGAATATAATTTGTAAAAACGAGTATTGTAATATAATTGTAAATAGTACAACGAAAAGGCTAAAGTGGCGCGCGCAAAGCGCGCGCTATGTGGTGTTCTAGTAGTATATAAAAAAGAAAAAAGACAATATATCAGCCTAACGTTACGATTTTCTTTGTGCGTTAACTAAGCTCACTCTTATGTAGAGAGAGAGACTTTAGTTTACGGTCAACATAATTTAAAGCATTACAGACGTTTTTGAACGGAGACTCGAAGAGGTAGGATATTCTCAATCCCTGTTAACGCGACGTGATCTTCGTCTTCAATTAATGCAGCCTTCGAGTGTCTAATTTTTCAGCGCAGAACGCAATTGAATTTCTCGAATAGAACCTGTTATTTTGATCCAAGTGCAAACTTGGACTTTGGAACGGGCGAACGACTCGCTCATCATCGTGCCCGTCAAATCTTTTCTGCAGTTTTAATGAGTTATCCATAGACACGAATGAAAGGTCTTTCCGGACAATTATAGAGCGGTTGGATAGGCAAGTGGAGAGAGGAAGGGAGTAGCGAGGGAGAAACCTCGAGGTCGAGAAGTGGGATGAGAGTAAGGCGCTGAGTAGGACAGAATGAACACGTAGACGCGCGAATGCTGCTTATGTCGCGTCGCGTCGTGAAAAATACGCGGACAATGGCGTCGAGTGTATCCGCCATTAATAGGGCGACCGGCCGGCCGGCTGAAGTTCGCCGCAAACTGGCACGGATTATGAAGACGAAATCGCGGCGTCGCGCTGCGCCGCGTCTGTGTGATGTGTTTCCCGTCAATCGGTGAGGTATAGCGGGTAGAAAGTTTCAGAGCTCGCCGCTCTCGCTCCCCTTTGCACTCCCCTCGAGCGGCGATTCCCCGGCCGCCGCGTCCCCACGGCTGCAGCCGTGGAAGTTTTAAGAGAAATGCGAAAGTTGGATAGAGAATGGATAGGGTGGAGTTATCTATCGATAGCACGAGATATCTCTATCGCTCCTTTCTGCCTACCACCGCCACCCTGCAGTCCCCATCAGCCTCGCGATGCTACCCACTGCCGGCTCTTTCCCCCCTCGCTGCAACTGTGATTCCCTCCCTTCCTTCTCGATCGGCCAGATGCCGGCTCCATATTCGCGGGCTTTGCGCGATACATCTTTTCTCGTATAACTTTCGATGGTGTGGCTGGAGAAGTAAAGGGGGCGCTGCGGTTGAATGTCGCGCTCGCGCGATTACGAAACACGTTATTTTTTAGCGAAAACGCGAAGCCCTCATAAATGCGTGGCGCCTCCATGCACTGTCCTCTTTGTCTTTCCCTCTCTTTCTCTCTCTCTTTCTCTCTCTCGCTCTTTCGCGGTTTTGCCACATTTCCCGAGAGAGTGCGGCCTCGATTGCCGCTTCCCCCGTTTTCCCGCACGTCACATCGTTCTTCCCGTCGTAGAAGCCCGGCGACGAGTTCCTCTTCATAATGTCCTGGACGTCCTCGAGCGCGTAGGCGCCTCCGGCCCGGACGACATTTTCCCTTCACGGCTGCTGTCCGAAATTAATTGCCACTCCATTTTTATCGTCGTCTATTTATCCCGCCAGTTGCCGCCTCGTCCCTTGTCCCTCGACAACCGTCTCATTAATCAAGCCTTCTTCGTCGTCGCGGTGATGGTCTTCTTCCCCTGCTTCTCCACCGTCGAAAGGATTCGCCGGCGAGGCGGAACACCGTGAGCTTGATTGATTATTGTCGCGGGTCGATTGATCTTGTGCACTCGGAATTTGATGAGTATCATCGGGAATCTTGTCGGCGCGGCTATAGAGTCGTAAATATTTCCGCGGCGCATGCTATTGGAACGTATTAAATTTTATATCTAATTATGGAAATCATATTTACTCGCTGGGCCGCAGCGCATCCCGGAGCTGAATTAATCATAGCCCGAATAAATAATAGAGGTCATTTTAATATGTCATTATTATAAATTTACATGATGAAATGTCAACAGTCCGCGAAATTAACTTCTTGCTAATGCCCTCGCACGTTGCGAGGTAGATTAAATATTGAACTACGTTGATCTATAATCGTTGAAATTATTATTATTAGCGATTAATCTTTCCGCGTATCGCGATATTTCGCAAAATTCCTCTCTCCCTCTCTCCCTCTTGCGGCATAAAATATATCTCCTTCTCCCGGCGGCGGCGTCGCCGTCGTCGACGACGACGACGAGGAGCGGTCCGGTGATTTTACGCACGGGAAATAAAAAACAAAATTGCGAAGAGGCCGGGAGAGCAGTGTCCCGGTACTCCATCTACGCACGTCCCCGGAGTCGTGTGGTGCGCGCGTCGTATCGTTGCCATTTTCACGACACCATTAAAACTGTAACCTCGTCGCGTCCAGCCCGGCCGAGCCAGCTCCTCTCATAACGCGTTATGATCCCGTCGCCGAGGGCTGATGCGTTTCCTGGGGTCGCGATGTCTTTGTTCCTAGTGGTATTCGTGCGCCGTCGCGCGGGCCTGCGAGGAAAAAGCGCGGTGGTGTGGCGCTGCCGCTGATGGTGGTCTGTCCAGCACCCAGGCGGCATAATCACGCGTATACGCTTTCCGTTACTCCGCCACGTCGGTTTCTTGTCGCTACCTCCGTCCACCGTGCGACGCGAACTTTGCTTTATGCCGCGTGCATTAATTACAACGTCGCGTTACACGCGCGTGTGGCACGCGCGAAGGAAATTGGCTTTCCAGCGCGCATCGTAAAAAGAAATTGCGCCTCACCACGGCCGCTGAAAACGCCGCCAGCGATGCGACGCGACCCGTTCTGATCGACCGTCACTAATAAACGTCGACTCGTTATCGAGGTGTAGCGTGTCTCATATGATGACAATATGAAAACGCGATATTTTCTTAGTCTTGTGTCTATCAGACGTAATTCTGGCAGTTCCACGCGCAAAGATTGCACCGGGGGTGGCCGATAAAGGACGCGGCGGCCTTTCTATTTTCTCGCGTCCGGTAGCGCTGGCAGGTAGGAGAAAGCCGAGGGAGACCGTAAGACGGATCCTCGAGACAAAGGACGAAATGGATATGGACAAAGGGCGTAATAGGAGGAAACTGTGGTGGAGGACGTCGCGGAAATGTCGCCGCGCGCCGTCCTGAGACGCGACTTTGTTGGATTTATGGATTATAAAGAGGAGCAGGACGGCGGAGGTCTGCTTGTGACAACACGACAATGAGAGGACGGGAAAGAAGTGAGCGATAAAGCTGTCGTGGAAATGCATAATTTATACACCAGCTACGTCCTGCCCCCCCGAAGCCCCTTCTTCCCAGCCGCCGATCCTTCGCCTCGCAATAAATAATGCGGTACTTCTCGTAGGGACAGGCTCGCCAGAAAAAAGAGTAGCAAAAACGCCCCGTGTACTCGCTGACTGCTGGACGCGCGAGTCGCTGATTAATTATGATCCGGAAGAATTCTAGAAAATCAGAGCCAGCGCGTTAAACGACCGATTCCTCTAAACGCAAATTAAAGGCGCCGCTCGTTATGACGCGCGCTCTCCGGAAACTGCGGCGGTATTACGCTTTGGAGCGGTTTCATCCCCCAACTCTTCTTCTCATCTTCACGTATTCCTTGGAAATAATTTGTTATCTACTTGTGAAACGCCTGTGCGTTTAGCGGAAATACAATGCATACACACACACACACACATATACACCCAAAAATATAATCTCATCCTTAGCGGAATCCTCTTATCTGTTATGGTCTCAAGAGAATTCTTCTAGAACGAAAAGGAAAGCATTTTGCAATGAAAAGAAAGATATCTAAGAAATAAGAGAAATACTTATTCAGTGGTTTAACTGACTACGTATTTATTTGTACTAATGTAAAATAGGAAAATCTATTAACATTTTCTTAATATCTCTCGTGAAGCAATTGTTTGTTTTAGAGAGATTTTAGGATTTTAGGAAGTAAATACGTTTATTAGTACCCCTACTGAGTAAGAGAAAAGAGTAGTTTTTATCTTTTAGATATTTTTTTCTCTCAATATAACGGTTCTCTCAAAAAGACGAACTCCATCTATTTGCAACACGTTTTATTTCCTATAGACTCAAGAATCCTCTTGAGGCCATATACAGGGTAAGTCAGTAACTATTGCCACCTGGAATACCTCCGAAGCAAAAAACTGATCTTCGGATTCTCCTTCACTTAGAAAAAAGCGTCTCATGGTGGTAACGTTTTTTCCCTAAGTGGAGTAACCTCCAAGACCTGAAGACCACCTTTGTTTTTTGTTCCAAAGATATTTCAGGTGGCAATAGTCACTGACTCACCCTGTGTAAGAGGATTCCGCTGAGGGTGAGATGTCTCTCTGGGTGCGGAGTGCCGAAGACGCGGCGTATCCTTAAAATGTGTCCACTACTAATTGACAAGATCCCTCGAGGATCTTTTCTTCGAAATATCGCGCGAGGAATACTTACGCACGTGCCCTTGTGCTTCGTGCGCACTGAAGAATCACTGAGCTTACAAGAGCGCGTCAGTCCGAAAAAGAAAAGCGCGAGAGGGTGACGCGACTGTGCCGAAGCGCCGATACAAGGCGCCTCATCGATGTATTCACGAGGAAATCCGTAAATCTCGTTCCTTCTATGTTTCCTTTCATGCCGTTTTAGAAAACTCCTTTATCAAGCGGACTGCGAGGCTGCAATTCCTTTCGCTTCCCAGCGGCGTCGTAAAGGATTGCCACCGTGCGCAAAAGTTAGCGAAAGAGAGTGAGCAAGAAAAGGGCGGGGGAAGGGAAGGTGGGGGGACGAGACTCCCCTTTACGACGAACAGAACCCCCGAAGAAGTTCCGCGGCCTCTTCCTCCGGGGGGAACTGAAATTAGGTTTGCAAAGAGGTAAACATCAGCGGGGCTGTACGTTTGCATAAACGGAAGGCGTTGCTCGCATGGGGGGCACGGTGACAAATGCTTGTCGCCGCCGCCGCCGTCG